ATTTCCAACGGTAGGAACGCGCACGAAAAGTTGTCAGTTAGCATGAGCGGAATCGGCATCGTCATCATCGCGTTTGAGGTTGTTGTGATTGTGCAGGCATGTATCCTGCCTTATCTTCCTCATCCTCCCCGCTCCTGCCTATAAACCATCTTGCCTTTCCTGTCAGCTCCTCCTCCTCCTCCTCCCTCCTCCTCCTCCTCCTCCTCCTCCTCCTCCTCCTCCTTCTCCTCCTCCTCCTCCTCCTCCTCCTCCTCCTCCTCCTCCTCCTCCTCCTCCTCCTCTCCCTGCTACGTAGTCCTGCCTCCTAATCCCCCTCCTGTCTCGTCCGCATGCCTCCTCCTGCCTTCTCCTCCTTCTGCCTCCTCCTGCATCGTTTTCTCATGCCCTATGCCTTCCCTTCCTGCCTCCTCTTTCTCCTTCATCCTCCTCTTGCCTTCTTCTCCTCCTGCCCTCTCCTCCCCATCCTACTCCAGATTCCTCCTGCCGCTTCCCCCTGTCTCATCCTGCCTCCCCCTCCCGCCTCTCCTTCCTCTCTCTTTCTCATGACTCATCCCTCTGCCTCCTCCTGCCTCCCCCTCCTCATCCTGTCTCCTACTCCACCTTTTGTCCTTCTCCTCTTCCTCCTCCTGTCGCTGGCTCGTGTCGTCCTCGGCGTGTCTGCGGTGGAGCACGTGGCGCTGGAGGCCTCGCAGCTGTTCCAGTAGGCCTGCGCACTCGGCCACAAGCTGGCCACTCAGCGCAAGGGCGCGCCGCTCCGTGCGAGGTCGTGGCATGGCCCTTGCCGATACCATTCGCGGGGGAAGGGGAGGAAGGGGGAGGAAGAGGGACGAGGGGGACGAAGTCCCCCTCGTCCCCCTTCCTCCCCCTTCCTTCCCCTCGTCCCCCTTCCTTCCCCTTCCTTCCCCCTTCCTTCCTTCCTCCCGTCCCTCTGATCCCCCTCGTCCCCCTTCCTTCCCCTTCCTCCGGGGGGGCGGAGGGCGGAGGGCGCACGAGTCCAACTGTCTGCAGCTGTGGCCGCGCCGCCGCCACCTGTTCTTTTGTCTCGCTGCGGACGCACGGCCAGCGTCGACCCCTGCACTTTCATAATCAGGGTGGTGCCTTGGGGGCGCTCGCAAGGGCCGCGAGAACTTGGCCCGGATCCAGAAAGGTCTACATCCAAGTCGGCGGCGGCCTTCGACGAGGGCAGGGTCAGGCGTCAGTAGGCCGTCCGCCGATCCCCTGCCGTGCTCCGGCGTTCTCTGGGCGTTGCCGAGGTCGGCCTTCATTGATTTGCGGGCGTCCAGGAATGCACAGGAAACCCCTCCGCCTCCCCCTCCGAATCGCGGAGCTAGCCGCTCAGACGCCTCGGAGCGGTTCGCCGATGCAGCCAGAGTAAGCTGTCGGCCAGATTACCATCATGGGGTGGGGGTCTTGTCTGGGAGGGTCCAACGCCCTTGCAATTTCCCCACGCCGTGATTGCACGTATGGGGTCGTTCTTTGGTGTTCCCCGGGTGTTCGTCACGTTGCCGCCTCGTGCTCGCCCCTGGTCGTTGTTTGGGCGCCTCGTGGGCGACCCGTGCGCTAGGCGGGTTCCCCGAGGATTCGCCACGTTGCCGTCCGTGCCGCCTCGTAGGCGCCCCATGATGCATTACACCCACGGCGGGCAATAAGACAGTTGGTTTTTCGTTTCAGCCCCTGCCAGTTTCTCATAGTACGGCGTGTTTGGGCATTTCAGGGGCTGGCAATTTCATCTGCCTTCCTGGTTCATGTTTCTACCAACTTCTTCCGACCGCCCTGTGTTGTTGTTTGTTTTCGCTTGTCCGTCTGCTCCATGTTTCTCCCCGAGCCCCTCAGCGGGCCCTGGAGCGGCCGGGCCGTCGTAGGAAACTGCCGGCGAATTCAGCTGCTACGTTCTTAATTTGTTTCGGGCCCAGCTCAGCTGTACAATTTCTTATCTCTTGGTATTCTTAATGCTGACCGGGGGTGTAGGTTGGTTCCCCGAGGGTTCGCCACGTTGCCGCCCGTGCCGCCTCGTGTGCGCTCGTGGGCGCCTCGTGCGCTGAGCTTACGCCGCATAGCTTACACCGCGTAGCTTGCAACACAGCCTACACCACCTAGCTTACACTACGTAGCTGACACGACAAAGGTTACACCACGTAGCTTGCATTGCACCACAAAGCTTGCACCGACTAGCGTTCACCTTCATAGCTCACACCACATAGCTTACACGACATACATGTCGCCGCGTAGCTTACACCTCCACCGTGCAAAAGCTCAATGTGGTGCCCACGAGGGCCAACATGTGTTCCCATCAACGAGGTTCTCGCACGAGTCTTCCAAGGCTCAGTTCTGAGGAACCCACAAATGGCGACAGATACAAGGTTCCCATGGCCTTCTCGGACTAGAAACAACGAGTGGGGACCCCGTAGGGAAGGGTCTCCCGCTCGAGCTTTCCTCGCAATTCGCTGACAGAGGAGGCACCCGCGACGGGACTGCCTCAACATGCAGGTCTCATGAGCCTCAAAGTGACGACATACATGATTGAGACGTCCACGGATTAGAAACAACGGCTCCCGTCCAAGGCTCAAGCCTTCCTCAATAGACAGACCTCAGGAGCCCAACAGTGACGACATGTGAAACTTGATTATATGACCCGCACCAGATTGGAAGCATCAAATGTGTGAACTCATTGGGAGTGGGTCCTGCCCGAGGCTTCCTAGCAATTCACACAGACGAGTCTCCCGCTGGAGTCGCCCTCGAGATTAGTGTATGAATGTGCATAAGTGCGTGAGTGTGTGAGTCTGGGGGGGGGCTGGTGGCGATGGTGATAGGAATTGTGATGATGATGGTGATGATGATGATGATGATGGTGATGATGATAGTGATGATGATGACGATGGGTATGGGTATGGGGATGATGATGATAATGACGATGATGATGATATTGATGATGATGATGAAGATGATGATGATGATGATGCTGATGATGATATTGATGCTGACCCTGATGGTGATGATGATTGTAGTGGCCTTCGGCAAGTGCCGCCGATCCGGGGTGCTCCGGATGATGATGATGATGATGATGATTATGATGATGATGATGATGATGATGATGATGATGATGATGGTGATGGTGATGGTGATGGTGATGGTGGTGATGGTGATGGTGATGGTGATGGTGATGGTGATGGTGATGATGGTGATGATGATGATGATGATGATGACGATGATGATGATGATGATGATGATTACGTCCCCCCCCCTCCCTCCCTGGCAGCGAGCACATAATTTGTCAGGTAATCACGTTCCCCCCCCTCCCTCCCTCCCAAGCAGAGCTAAAGCTCATGCTTAAGCAGAGCTTCAGCGTAGACTTCTTAAACTCACACGCCGGATCGGCGGATGATGATGATGATAATGACGATGGTAATGACGATGATGATGATGATGATGATGATGGTGATGATGGTGATGGTGTTGATGGTGTTGATGGTGTTGATGGTGATGATGATGCTGATGATGATATTGATGATGGTGATCATGGTGATGGTGATCCTGTTGATGCTGCTGCTGCTGCTGCTGCTGCTGCTGCTGGTGCTGCTGCTGCTGCTGCTGCTGCTGCTGATGATGATGATGATGATGATGATGATGATGATGATGATGATGATGCTAGTGTGTGAGCGTGCGTGGTAATGACGATGACGAGTGTAAACAAGAAGGGAAGAGCAGATCGGAGGGGTGTGGGTGTGTATTCCTGCAAGGGGACTCCTAGAGAAAAAATAGCCCCCTACAAACGTAAACATAACCATCACTTAAGAAAACACGAACCCCACGCCTGGTGGCAAACTCTGCATATATATATAAACTGTCGGAGATGCGCGCGGATTTCTTGGATCGGAGCTGGACGCCTTGGCGGCTCCTTCGGCACCGCCCGTGGCGCGCTCCGCGCGCCAGGCAGGGGGGGCCCAGCGCGGATCCAAAGTTATCCGCGCGAGCCTCCGAAAGTTCATGTTCAAAATTGTTCAAATTTGTTTGCCTCCCGACCCGAAGTTGCTTGTGTGCAGCTTCGGCCCCCTCTCCCCAAGCTGCGTACACACGGGCTCGGGGTTCCTTCTTCTGCTGGGATTCCAGACGAACCAATCCCCAACGTATGCGGAATCTGCCATTGATTTCTGCTGTTGTGCACTGCTGCAAACGATTCAAACCGCATGTGTCCCTCGTTCTTACTCTCTGCACGAACGAAATGGGCCCGGAAAGAATGGGTACAATGCCCAACAGCAGTTCCTGTTCATTCTGAACAGGACTCGCTGTCCGAGCCGCCGCGGCCCTTGTCCATTCGAGACAGAGGGCCGCCTGCCCAACAGCGGCCGCTGTTGGTTTGGGACAACATTTGCCGTTGGGCATTGTACCCATTCTTTCCGTACCCATTTCGGGCGTCCAAATACTCGGGGAACACATTGGATCGCCCGCGCCCGCTCCCTCGGGGCTCCGTGCGGCTCCACGCCGGGCTCCCCCGGCGGGGGCTCGGCCGTGCTCGGCCTCGGCGGGCGACCCACCGTCCTGGGGGCTCCTCGAACGCCCGGGGTCGAGGACGACGACGATGACGAAAACGACGGACGACGGGCGGACGACAGACGGTGGATGAATACGACGACGACGGCCAGACGGACGCACGGACGGAGACGACGACGACTCAGACGACGACGACGACGACGACGACGACGACGACGACGACGACGACGACGACGACGACGAGGACGAGGACGACGACGACGACGACGACGACGACGACGACGACGACGAGGACCACGAGGAGGACGAGGACGAGGACGAGGGCGGACGAGCAGGGCGGGTTCCCGCGGAGGCGCCCGCCGCCGTGTCCTTCCGCCTCGCGTGGGACTCGCCCCAGGAGTGGGGCGGCGTGCAGGACGCACGCTTCGGGGGGCGGAGGAGGGAGGGAGGGAGGGAGGGAGGGAGGGAGGGAGGGAGGGAGGGAGGAAGGGAGGAGGAGGAGGAGGAGGAGGAGGAGGAGGAGGAGGAGGAGGAGGGAGGAGGAGGGAGGAGGAGGAGGGAGGAGGAGGAGGAGGAGGAGGAGGTAGAGGAAACCCAGGCTCCCCGCAGCCATTTTTAATCTCTCGATCCACTCCCCGCGCAGGGTCATTTACTTGACCAAGGGCCTCCTACTCCTCCGTTTTCTCCTCTTCCGTTTCCTCTTTCTCCTCCTCTACCTCGTCCTGTTATTGTTCCTCATCATTTTCCTCATCGTCATAGTCACCACCATCATCATCGTTACCATGACCATCCTCCTCATTATCATCGTCATCGTCGTCCCTTTCTCCTCTCTCGTCGGGAAGGGGGAGCGGCGCTCGCGCGGGGTGGGGTGGGGGAGGAGCCGCGGGCGGGGAGAGACCGGGGCGCCCCCCCCCGCGCGGCGCAGGACGTCCAGTTGCGGCTGGAGTCGCGGGCGAGCGGTCAGGCGGCTGGCGGGGGCGGGAGAGGGCGGCAGCGGCAGCCGGGGGGGGGAAGGAAGGAGAAGTGATGATGAGAAGGGGCAGCAGCAGAGGGAGGGTGAGCAGCAGGAGCTGCAGCTCCTTGTCTTCCTCCTCTCCGCTGCTGAGCTTCCTTGCCCGCGACCAGAGAAGGAGCAGGAGGAGGAGGACGACGACGAGGGCGAAGACGTCAATGAGCGTGAGAAGGAGGAAGAGGAGGAGAGGAGGAGGAGGAGGAGGAGGAGGAGGAGGAGGAGAAGGAGGAACGCAGGAAGAGGAGGGTAGCGACGCCGCGCAGCAGGGTCACACCCCTTACGCCAGCATCTTTTGAGAAGGGCGGGAAGGAGTAACAAGAGCGAGCAGGAGAGCGAGGAGGGCGAGGAAAACGACGACGACGAGGACGACGAGGACGACGACGACGACGACGACGACGAGGACGACGACGACGACGACGACGACGACGAGGACGAGGACGACGACGAGAGCCGTCCGCACCGAGCTCACGGCCAGAGCTCGGCGAGTGGCCCAGAGCCTGCGATGCTTCCTCCCCTGGGCTGAACGTCGACGGGTAGATAGCACTTACGCATCTTTGTTGCTGCTGCTGCTGCTGCTCCTCCGAGGGTCGCCGATGCATCGGCGATGCGGCGCGATCTGGGGCTCGTGCGTCTCTGGCCCGCCGTCGTCGATGTTGGTCCCTGGGCCTCGCCAGTAGCGATTTTGCGCTGGCTCCCGCTCTCGGGGGTGCCTCGGTCGCGTGGAGTAGAAGTATACCTCACAGAGTGCGGGAGCGTCTTCCCCAAGCGGGAGGAGGGGAAGAAGTGGGCAAAATGGGGAGAAGGAGGTGGAGGGAGGGAGGTGCAACAGGAGAATGGATGGGACGGGAAGCGAGAGAAGGAGGCAGGAGGCGGAGGGAGGGGGGGGGGTGGAGGGGCGGAGAGTTCGATCCCCACGACAGTGCCTGCATTGCTGCAAGGGTACTTGCCCTTGTTCTCTGAGGTGTCGCCCAGCGGCCGCGTGTGGCCGCCCCACGTGCTGGCCAGGTGTTCCAGGTGTCTGCCCAGTGGCCGCATGGGTTTGTCTGCCTGTCCGTGCGCTCGGAGGGCAGAAGGGAGTGGCATACTTTATCGTTTTTTCTATCAGCGGTTGAATGAGGGAGGCAGGGAGGAGGACCCAATCCGAGATGTCAACGAAAAGTTGAAACCACTCGAAGAAACCTCATCAACGCTGAACCTGAGCCCTCGAACGGGCGAACGAGCGGATCGTCAAGAGGCCTGGCCCGCGACGGGCTGCTTGTGTGGCGCTACACTGCGCAGAGTGCTGGGCTTCCGCGCGCCGCGACCCAGAGACTGACGGCGTGAATCCACCCTGGAACACCTGCGGCGAAGGAGGAGGAGGAGGAAACGAGGAGAGGGGAGGGAGGGAGAAACGAGCGGTGCACCCATCTTGGGGCGGATGCCAGACAGCACCTCGGCCAGCGTAGCCAGCTGCGCCTTCTTGCGGCGCCTCTCCCTGGAGAAGCCACGGCACACCCCCCTTAGCTTACGCGTGGGGCCAACACGCGATTGCGTCGAGAGGGATGCACGGCAGACGAGCGCGTGCCCCGCTTGCACCACTTGATGACCACGCTCGGCGAAGCAGCCCAGATCAATCCGAGGCCCGAAAAGCATCACGGCACTAATTTTGGGCCCCAGGGCCCACTCAGGCCCCAGGGGCCCCAGGTAAGTGAAGTGATGTTTCTTTCCCATGTAAGGACCCCGAAATTCATCACTTCACTAAACCGAACCCAGGACAAAAGTCTGGGGCCGAATTGCTGCTGTGATGCAACATAGGTCTCGTAATGAATGGGAGGGATCGGCACCATCACGCTCTCGGGCGGCTCACCCGTACTGGCCTCCACCCCATCGGGCGCAGCCGCCGCCATGAGCACCGGGCCTGCTGTGGGGTCCGCGCCCTCATGGAACACACGCCCCATCCGCCGAACGACGGCCAGGTACAGGGCAGACCCTAGCCTTAAGTCGGGCCTGTCCCTCTACAGGGGGATATTCAAAAATAGTCCAAAAACAGTCTGGGGACGATTTTTTGATTATTTTTGACCGTCTCGGAGTATTTTTGGTGTATTTGTGATCTTTCGTCCAAAATCCCCCTGTAGGGGGACATGCCCGACCTAACCCTAGCCTCCGCTCAGGCGTGGGCTCACACGCGCCATGCGAACGATTCCCAAGAGATCGAAGCGTGAGCTCGGTGCAGGCAGTCCAACTGCACTCCCTGCCCAGCACCTCTGCGGTGTCAGGAAGTCTAGCAAACGAGTGCTGAGTGGAGCAGAGAAGGGCTGCGCGAGGCTTACTGGCAGGCTTTTCGGCCACTCTCCTGATTTTGACGACCCCCGCCTCTTTCCCCCCTCCCTCCTCGCCCTCCTGCCCGCTCCTCCTCCCTTCTCTTTCACCATCAGCAGCATCAGCATCAACAGCATCATTAGCATCATCATCAGCAGCATCATCACCATCATCATCATCATTATCAGCAGCATCATCATCAGCAGCATCATCATCATCAGCATCATCATCAGTATCATCATCATCAGAATCCTCATCCTCATCAGCATCATCATCAGCAGCATCAGCATCGTCGTCATCAGCACCAATGATCATTATCATTACCACTTTCATCATCATCATCATCATCATCATCATCAGCAGCAGCAGCAGCATCCTTCTCGCCACGGAGCCTCATCATAATCTTCATCTTCATCATCAGCATCATCATCATCATCGTCACCATCATCATCATCATCAGCATCATCATCATCAGCAACAGCATCATCATCATCATTAGCATCATCATTATCAACATCATCAGTATCATCATCAGCAGCATCATCATCAGCATCGTCATCATCATTCACACCACCATCGTCATCCTCATCCTCATCATCATCAGCATCATCATCATCATCAGCAGCAGCAGCATCATCACCATATAGCCGCACTGGGCCGAGGCACTTGCTTCGGCCCGCGGCTTGGAGGGTGCATCTGCGCCCCCCGCGCCCCCCCCGTGCGCCCCAGCCCTTCGCTCTTCCTTGGCCATGGTCGTCGCGTCTCACCTGGCATGGCTCCGCTCCCAGGTCGTCCAAGGCGTTCGAGCTCATATCTCGGTCTCCGCTGCGTCGGCCCACGGAACAGGGGAGCTCAAGGTGGTCGTGCATCATGATGCCCCGCATCTAGCAGATGCAGCTCGAGTCTTGCTTCTCGCGTCGATAGATGCCCTCGCCCCTCCTCTCGTGCATGGCGTGACAGTAGATCGTGGGCACAGACATCCGAGTACGGATTGCAGCGAGACTCACTTCTGGTTTCGAGTCCCACCTGGCGAACCTGCTCATGATGCTCCTCCCAGCGGATGGCTTCCAGGTGGCGGACCCGACGCGGATGGGGATGGCGGCGTTGATTTTAGAGGGGTTCCGCCTCAGAAGCCTCGCGATGTGGGCAGGGGCGCTGACCCAGGGCAGGGGCCCGTGGGCTTCGGCTGCGGCCTCGTTGGGGCGGTGTGGACAGGGGCGCTGACCCGTGACGGATCCGCGGGCTTCGGCGGCGGCCTCGGTGGAGCTTTGTCCGAAGAAACCAGGGCAGATGGGCATCATTTCTGGTGTTGGTGGTTGTCTTGCTGGCTGTCTTCATGAAGATGATTGGCCACCGCGGGGACTTCCTGTGGTTCCTCCGCTCCCGTTCAGCAAGGAGGCCCGTATGTTTGTTCCTGCTGGTTATTGCAATGTGGATATCCTACCTCCCGAGTTGAACGGTGGCCTTCCTGAGGGGATTCCTCACTAGTATCGTGGTGGCTGCTGTTCTCTAACGGAGTATGGCGGTCCTCATGCCGAGCCTGGTGATACTGATCGTGCGGGGCCTCATGATCGATGCTTTTCTTGTTGAAGATGGAGCTGGAGATCCCAGCGTCCCCCGCAGTGATGTTGAGGTTTGCTTCGCCCCGCTACGCGAGGCCATGACGAAGCTGGAGGCACAGATATCGAAAGTCCTTCGTGAACAGGCGGACGAGGGTCGTTCGCTGGTGCTGGAACTGTACATGGGACGAGTGGTACGTGAGATCGTGTGGCCTGAAAATATCCCGACGGACAACTTCGACGATAACATGTGGGACACTCATCAGCACTACGGTTGGCCAATCGGTCTCTTCATTGGCGTTTTGCCACGATTTGGGAAGATGCGCGTATTGGACGCACGGGGCGGATTACATCTCTCAGTGGTGACTCTCGTTTTCATCTCGCGGTCTTTCCTGATGATGCGCAAGTTGCTATGGAGGCATCCCATCTCCGCGAGGACCATGACCCTTCGAGCACCGCGCAGTGGGAGGGCATGTTGCTAGAAAAACAGACCCTGGATGAAGAGCTGGGGCGCGGCGCGCAAGAATTCTCAGTCTGACGCAGGCATGAGGTCTTCGATCCTGAGGTCATCGCCAGTACGTGGTCCCCCTCGGCTTCCTTGTGTGCCTCTTGGGGGACACGCTGGTCGTCGTGCGCTGCGGCTCCTTCTATTGGAAGGTGTCTTAGGCCGCGGACCCACCCTTTTCGTGTCGTTCTGTCTGTGTTCGTCTTGTCTCTTCGCTCTGTCGCCTCCTCTCTCGTGTCCTGCCCTCTTGCGTTGTCGTCTCTGCGCTTTGGGGTTTGTCGTTGCTTCCCCCTCGGCCTCGTCTTCCTCCCCTTTTCCCCCGTTCCCTCGTCGCCCTCCGCTTTCGGCGGGGCGGTGCCCGACCGGATCGGTGCCAGCTGCCGGGGGGGGACATCATCACCATCATCAGCAGCATCATCATCATGATGATGCTCATCATCAGCCTAAGCAATATCCGCAACAACACCAACACCAACATCAAAATTCATTTCCGCAACGACAGCAGCAACAACAACATCAACGTCCTCCCCCCGCCCCCGCCCTCCCTTTTTTTCCCCCCTTCCTTCTCGTCCTCCTCGTCCTCCTTCCTCACCCTTCTGCCTCGTCCTCATCACCCTCCCCATCGCCTCCTGCCCCCGAGGAGAAGGAAGAGAAAGAGGAGGAGGAGGAGGAGGAGGCACAGGAGGTTTGACGACGGGGCCCACATTTGGGAGGGGAGCGACAGAGTGCGAGGATAAGGACGAGACGGATGAGGGAGGAGTCGGAGGAGGAGGAGGAGGAGGGACGAGGAGGAGGAGCAGGAGGAGGAGGAGGAAGAGGAAGAGGAGGGACGAGGAGGCGATGACGAAGAGACGACGAGGGCGGGACGAGGGGGAGGGGGCACAGGCGGAGGATGCACAGGAGGAGGAGGAGGTCCTTCCCTCGTCGCCCCTTCCCGCCCAGAGGATGGGGGCGCCCCGCGCGCGCGCGGCTCCGGCCCGCCCCGAGGTGCAGCTGATCCGAATCCGTGTGGACGGCTCGGGCGGCTTGGACGCTTTGCCCCCAGAGTTCCAGGCCGGGACGATGACGGCAAGGACGACGACGACGACGACGACGACGCCGATGCCGATGGCGGCGGCGGCAGCGGCGGCAGCGGCGGCGACGCCGACACGACGACGACGACGACGACGACGACGACGACGACGACGACGACGACGGCCGCGGCGGCGGCGGCGGCGGCAGCGACGACGACGACGGGTGGCGGCGGCGACGGCCACGACGTCGCCGACGGCGGCGGCGGCGGCGGCGACGACGCCGACCACAGCGGCGGCGGCGGCGACGACGACTGTGACGACGACGACGCCAATTGCGTCGGCGACGGCGGCGGCGACGACGACGACTGCAGCGGCGGCGGCGGAGGCCGCTGCGGTGGCGGCGGCGGCGAGGGGGAGGAGGAGGGGGGGGAGGACACAGGGTCGGCCGACCGAGGGGGCGCCATCGTGGCACCCGACGCGCCGCGGCCTTACAACCGAAATTTACACTTAATGATGCGAGCCCGCCTGGCTTGGCGGGCCTGGACGGGCTTAACGATGGGGTCCCCGTTGGGGGGGAGGACGGGGGGGGGAGGGGAAGGACGAGTCGCAGGAGGAGGGGGGACGAGGGACGAGGAGGCGAGGACGAGGAGGCGAGGAGGGCGGGCCGAGGGGGCGCAGGAGGAGGTGGACGGGGAGGGGGGCAGCTCGATGCGGACGTGGACGAGGACAACGAGGAAGAGAATGAGGGAGGGACGACGCGAACGAGAAGGAGTGGGAGGAGGTGGAGGACGACGACGAAGAAAACATGCAGCGGGGGGGCAAAAGCCGGATGAGGACGAAGAAGAGCAGCAATCAGCACGACGAAGCCCATAGCATGCTTGCTATGTACGTATGTCTTCTCCCACTGCCAGTGTGGTTAAGCTTCTCTGGGTAATTGCAATAGATGGTTTCGTCGCGGTGGTGTAAGCATGCGATGGGCATGACGAGCACGACAATGTCGAGTCTCGTCGCAGATCATGACCCCTGGAGTTTCATGGAGGTCAACAGGGGCCTGGGGCCTCCGGAAACCCTGTGAAATTCAAGAGGGGCCGATAATGTCGAACATCTTCGATCCTCGATTTTCGGCGGTACGAAATTGGCTGAGCATGTTGCCCTGGACCGCTCCAAGGGCCCATCCTAGCCTGTTGAGAGGGGACCTGCTTCAGGCCACGGTGATGAAGAATACACCCGAAGCCCACGATTCGAGGACCTCGACCGTCGGGAGCAAAACTTTTCACAACGACGACGACGACGACGACGCCGACGACGACGACGACAACGGAGACAAAGACGAGGAGGACAAGGGCGAGGAGAAAGGGAGGGTGGAGAAGGACGAGGAGGATGAGCAGAAGCAATAGGGGCAGGAGTACGACGACGACCATCGCGATAATGAAGGTGACGTCGGCAACGACGACGACGACGCCGACGACGATGATGATGCCGACGACGACGACGACGACGACGATCACGACGACGACTACGACGACGACTACGGACGACGGACGACGGACAGCGACGACAGCGACGACGACAAGCACAGCGTATGTCGCCGACGACGACGGACGACGACGACGACGACGACGACGACGGCGACGACGACGATGACGGCGGCGGCCGCGGCGGCGGCCGCGTTGGCGGCAGCGGCGACGACGGCGACGGCGGCGGCGGCCGCGGCGGCGGCCGCGTTGGCGGCAGCGGCGACGACGGCGACGGCGGCGGCGGCGGCGACGGCGGCGGACGGCGGCGGACGCACAGCGGTCAGCAGCGGGCGGCCCCCGCGGCGGAGAGGCCCCGGGGCGGTTCGGCTGGGCGGCGCTCCTGGCGGCCGCGGCGCTGCTTTGGTGCTGCTGCAGGCGCCTCCTCCTCCTCCTCCTGCTCCTCCTCCTCCTCCTCTCCTCCTCCTCCTCTCCCTCCTCCTCCCTCCTCCTCCTCCCTCCTCCTCCTCCTGGCTCCTCCTCCCCCCCCCCGCGTGTCAGCCGCCCGCCGCGCCGCGGCCGTCGTCGCCCGCCGCGGCCGCGGCCATCACCGTCGCTGTGCCGCGGGCGTCTGGAACACATCGAGGTGATGGTCTTTCAGATTGTTCCACCCTTCGGGGCCCTTACACCGGGCTTCGGGGCCGTCAAGAGGCGGTTGCGAGTAAGGGGCTCACCGGGGAAGTGGTCGAGACAGGTCGGGGCCTCGTGTCTCGAAAAGATCGAGGCGCTTGATGACTGGCTGGGTTCGTCCTCGTCGTCGCAGCGCGCCCTGGTTCTCCCGCCGCCGTCGTCTCCGTCGTCACTCATGCGCTCTCTCTCTTTCTCTCTCTGTCTCTCTTCCTCTCTCCTCCTGCCTCCCCCGTATGGCGCGTTCAGACTCAAGAAAAAGCTCTCCTTCTCGTCATCCTGATCCCCCCCTCCCTCCTTCCATGCCTCCCTCCCTCTCTCCATCCTCTGGTTCCACCCCCTTCTCGCCCTCAGCCGCGTCCTCCCTTCTTCCACTCGCGTGGGGCACGCTTGGCATGAGTCTGGCGCGCGCACCCGTCTCCCAGTTTTCGGGGCAGGGTCGGGTCGAGTTCTCGGAGGTGGTAGAACCCTCCCCCGTTTCGGATTTCCTTGGGAGTTCTCCTGAGAGCACGAGACGAGACGACGCAGAGGCCTGACCTGGCATTGCCACGCCAGCGTGCTGCTGGCCGAGCTAGCCCATCGTGGCCAGTCGCGCGGTGGTCCCTTCACGTCAGAGTAGCGCGTGGTGGCGGCGCTGATCACGAGCTGCCACCACTCGGGCGCTGACCTGAGAGGGGGCACGAATTCAGAGGTAGAGGTCTCTCCCCAGCAAGAGGGGTAGATGCGGAACTGTGGAGTCTGAGTCCTCAGAAGAGCACGAGACGACGCGACAACAGAGCTCCTGGAGGGAGGGCGAGGGGCGCAGGGGCGGCGTTCGCTGGCGGGGCTCGCGCGAGGCCTCGGCGGGCGTCGCCGGCAAGTGCGGGGTGCCGGCGAGCCGCGTGCGTGGACCGCGCGTGCGTGGCCCGTGGACCGCGCTGAAGGCGAAGAATACACGCCGAGCCGACGCAGCACGGCCGCCTTCGCAAACACGAAGAACTGCGCGGCGCTCCGGCGGGGGGCACCGTGCCGCCCGCGCCCGCGCGCGGACCCGCTGCGAGGGCGGCGGGAGCGGCACGGGCCGCGCGCCCACACATGTGAGCGCCACGTCCAAGGGAGGCGCGGAGTGCGCACGGGAGCAGGAGGGGGTTTTCACCCAGGGGCTTCGTACCCCCTGTCTTGACGAGGTTCCGAGGCCCCTGGGGGGCTCTCTGGAAAGCCCCCTCCCCAAAAAACCCCTTTTGGAACCCTCTGGGTGGTCGAGCCGTCGGAGATGAGCAGGGGGGAGGAGAAGCATCGGGGAACAGACGATTACATAAGCATAAATTTTCAGAGGTCCGCGCGGACTTCTCCGATCGGCGCTGGAGCCCCCTGGCGGCGCCTCTTGCGCCGCCCTCCGGAGGGGGGTCCAGAAGAAGTCCGCGCGGACCTCCGAAAGTTTATGCTAATGTAGTGCGCGGCTCTTCTCCAGCAGGAGCAGCAGGAGAAAGCCTCGCGCCGTGCGAAAGGCGCGCGAGGTGTTGGCAACTCCCGGCCTCCGCGGTCCCTCGCCAGGCCCCGGGGCCGTGAAGCAACGACCCAAATTGGGAGACCACTCTTCGGCGCTTGGGACTGGCCCGGCTGGAGACGGGGCGGGCGGACCGCCCTTGAGATCCGACGTCACGAGAGGAACGCAGCATCGCGAACAAAAAAATCGCTCGGAGCCACGGGGGATGCGGCCCGCTGACGCCTGGAGCCATCGATGGCAGGTTCTGCTCGTCTCTGGAACCGATGCAACAGTTGTCACATATGCGAAAATTGCGATACCCTTGCCGAGAAAGAGAGCCAGTGTGCATGTGTGGAGTCAACGGGAAGCCCTTCACATTCACCACGAAGTCTCAGCGAGGCCGCAGCCCCGAGCGGGTGACTGGGCTCCGAGCTCTAGCCATCATCTTTCTGCAGCATTTTTTGAGCCGGAACGGTCCGCGCGAATGCCCATGCCCGCTTCCCCTCGCCATGAAGGAGAGGTGAAGCACAGGAGGTTCCGAGAAACGGGTCCTGGACCAGGGGAGCCTTCCCCGAGGACCAGTGCTCCATCACGAGTCGTCTATTGACGGTCCCGGGTCCCGTGGGGAGGCCCGAACTCGGGAGCCTTGAGACGGGGGTCAATGCAAACGGGGGTCAGCCAGAGCGCCACGACCGTCGCCACGATCTTGCAGGATCCTGCAGGTCCAGGGTCGCATTGACCCGGGTTTGGGTGCAGGATCCTGCAGGATCCTTTGCATTGACCTGGGTTTGGGCGCAGGATCTTGCAAGGCTTGACTGACCGTGGTCTGGATTGACCCGGGTCAGAAGATCCCCGACGAACACGGCGAAAAATTGAACTTCGGTTTTTTTTTCATTTCAGGACCCTTGTCCTTCACGGCGGTCCCAGCTTCGGCGGTCACAGATCGACCCCTGGACCCGTCCTGGAGTGCGCTCCGACCAGAACTTCGAAGGGAATCAACCCGAGAGGCTCAAAAACGGTCGATCCAAGACACATCTAAAAGCATTCGAAGTTCGATCCTCGAGCCTCCCTTGAGATCCGACGCAGCGAAAACAGACAACATCGTTAAAAATATCACGCCCAGAGCCCTAGACACCCTCTTTCTGCGTCACTTGTCGAGCCGGATCGATCTGCGAGGGTCCCGGGGCCCGACAAAGAGCGAAAACGCCCAGCTCGAAAAAGTTGGGCCGCCAGGACCTCAAGCAGTGGCGAAGCGTCCTGGCTCGCCTGTAGGCCCACCAAAGAATGTTCTAATGACCTTTTGTGGTCTGCATGGGTATGTTCTTAGAGCATGGTTTTGTGGTCTGCATGGTTATGTTTTTAGAGCATGTTCGAATGACCTCGGGCTTAGGTTCTAAGAACACGGTGTTGTTCTTCGACCACTGCTGGGTTGTAAGAACATGTCGTGGCAGGCCTACAGGAACGCTGGGACGGTCGGTCCCTGCTCAAGGACCGTAGGGTCTTCCCTCGTGCCAGCCCCTCGCTGCCTCCGCCGGAGAGCCGTGGACGCCCAGGTGCGCCTCCTGGGGCTCCCGCCGCGCACCCGCGGACCGCCCCCGAGAGCCGCCCCCTGCCTCGAGGGCCGCGGAGCTGTCCTCACAGCCGTGTTGGGAGGGGGGCGACGAGGAGGATTCAGAGGAGGAAGAGCTACCCATGCCTCTACCCTCCCCTCGTTTTCCCCTTTGGGGGCCTTCGTCGCCACCGCTGGATTCGCCTCGAAATGCTGGTCAGAACGCACCCCAGGAGAGGTCTGGGGAGTAGCGGTATCCGTACCTTGTGGTAACCCCAAGGAGGGGGAGGAAGGAGGAGGGGACGCAACAAGATCTGATCTTCGTGTCCGCGCAACGTGACAAAAGAAGGAGAAGGAGGAGGAGGAGGAGGAGGCGGAGGAGGAGGAGGAGGAGGAGGAAGAGGATGAGGATGAGGAGGAGGAGGAGGAGGAGGAGGAGGAGGAGGAGGAGGGAGGAGGAGGAGGAGGGGAGAAGGAGGAGGAAGAGGAGGAGGAGGAGAAGGGAGGAGGAGGAGGACAAGGACGAGGACGAGGACGAGGACGAGGAGGAGGAGGAGGAGGAAGGAGGAGGAGGAGGAGGGAGAAGGGAGGAGGGAGGAGGATGGGGGCAGGGAGATTGGACGAGGGGGAGGGGGAGGAGGGAGGAGGAGGAGGCCCAGCACCCCCTCGCGTGGTGAACAAAACACGACAGGAGGTTGGGGGCCTCATCGGGCCTCGGGACCGTCAAAAAGGGACTCAAAATGGAAAACCAGTCCCGGGGAATGGGTCCAGACCTCTGGGGGTCGACATTATGGAAAATCATACGCTGTCCATTCGATCGTGGCATTGGGCGGCGTTCCCGCGCCACCAAAGGGCGAGCAGGGAACTCTGGCGCCGCCAGGATGGCCCGCACCGGAAATCCACCAGGGGTCCACCCTGGCAGGAACACCGCCCATATCAGCGAAAAACATGGGGAGGTAGTGGGTCGGTGATGAACCCGATCGCGGGTTGCAACCAAGCCCTATCCGGGCTGATGAGATGCCCAGTCCGGGCAATAGCCCAGGCGATCGCAGACATAGTTCAAGGGGGCGTGGATTACCGGCGGGTTCCGTTTCCATGGGATATCGCGGATTTCCGACGCCGAGCGAGGCGGCACCGGCCGCTTTTTAGGGAGGGCGCCTCCCCCGATCCATGGATTTGATGACCGCGCGCCAAATCCATGGATCGCTAATCCATGTTTGCGCGCCCCCGACTAGCGCACCCAATCCAGGTTGCCGATGGGCCCAATCCAGGCTGACGACGCCCCAATCGGGGCAAGTGAGCAAGTGAAATTGCCCAAGCCCACGATGCTGACTTCACCGGATGGTTGGGTGACCCGATGGACGGGTTGTCCAACAAGCACCGGCAGCAGGCGCCGCGTCACGTCGAGGGCGAGGGGCTGGAGCTGGGGGGGTGGGTTTGCGCACGGCTTGCCGCGAGTGTCGCCAGTTCGCAGCCACGCGCAGAGGGGGGTGGGGGGAGGGGGGGGGCTTCTTAGAAGCCCCCCTGCTTCTTAGAAGACGCGGGCCTTATCTGTAGATACAGGGCCAGCGCCTTCTAAGAAGCAGGGTGCTTCTAAGAAGCCCCCCCCCCCCCCCCCACCCCATTGTGCGCGCCGCCGACACAGTTCGCCAAAGCAGGGATCTGCGATATATGCGACATGGTCGGTATCCAGAAGACTGCAGCGCCAGGTGGCCAGTGGCCGCGTTCTTGTCGGGCTGACTGCGGGCACTTCGTGGATAGGAAGCGCCCCAGATGCGGGGAGGAGGTTTGGGCATCGTTCCATCGAATCCGGTGTTGCCCCAAGGATGTCTGCCCAGAGTCCGAGAAGTCACAGCACCCAGATCCCCAGTTATCGGCGCAACATGTGTCAGTTCCGTGCTTTGGGCTTCGAGGGGCCCCTCCAGCGAGTTAGACCCCACTCCCCTGAGGGCACCAGGTACCCCAGCGAAGATGTCACTCTCTACCGGCCCAGTTCCTTCGAAGCTGTGGAGGTGAACCTCAAGCACAGTAAGGTTGTCATTGTTCTGTGACGGCTCGGGGGGGCCTGCAGCTCTGACCCGAGGAGCAGGCATTGTGGAACTGCGATCGTGGCCTTAAGTCGGGCCTGTCCCTCTACAGGAGGAATATTCCAAAATAGTTAAAAAATAGTATGGGGACTAGTTTTCAGAATGTTTTGACTATGTTGGATCATTTTGGGGGTACTTTTTTGATTTGTCGTCCAAAATCCCCCTGTAGGGGGACATGCCCGAACTAAGGCTACCGCTGTAGAGCGGGAACTGGCTACTGGAGCTAGATCATCCGTCGGATGCAGGAAGCACACGGTCCCTAGGGCCGAGTGTGTTTGGTCGTTTCGCTCGCGCTCGAAATTGTTAAGGATTTGTGGCCCATCACCGACCATCCAAGAGTGGATTAGTTCAGGACCTCTGGAGTCGCCTCATGCTTTCTTTTGGGAGATAGCACCGATTCAGATATTAGTTTGCATTTGGCACCCCGCCACTTCAGGTCGGATCAAGATGACGTTGGTCCCTACCTATTTCGGGGCAGTGCCCTGGTTGGTGAGGGGGCGGGCAGGGCGGCGTCGGATTCGCTGTCGTGGTGTCAGGGGGGGACGTCGGATTAGGCAGATAAGTGGGACGTGGCGGCAGCCCTGGTCAGAGACAGGGGCCCGTCGAGCGCTGGAGCTGGCGACGGAGCTGGACCCTTGGTCTGGGGAGCGGCCTGCCAAGGAAAACACCGCCCCCGGCTCCGCCCTCTCCCGCGCGCTCGCCTCCACGCATCATCCACTCGAGAAGACAGGCTCGAAGCTTCAACGCAAGTCCTGTGGGCCTGTGGGTAAGTCGCCCCTGCTTCCACGAAAGCAGGAGTTGCGTCGAACTGTTCTGGACCCCCTGCGGGCTCGAGAAGCGTTGGCCCCGTGGGGCCAGGCACCATCTGTGTGCAGAATTGGTCCGACGTCCATTTCCTCCTACTTTCGTCCGCATCGGGGCGCCCCCCCTCTCCTTGTCGAGGACGACGCCCCGGAGCCGCTGTGGGCACACGCTGGGGCGCCGGTGTTGGGCGCTGGCTTCGCGGGGACAGGCGTTACCCGGGCTGGGGGGGGAGGAGAGGAGGAGAGGAGGAGGAGGAGGAGGAGGACGAGGAGGAAGGCGGCGAGGAGGAGGAGGAGGAGGAAGAGGCTGGGGTAGAGGGGGGAGGAGGAGGAGGAGGAGGAGGAGGAGGAGGAGGAGGAGGAGGAGGAGGAGGAGGAGGAGGAGGAGGAGGAGGAGGAGGAGGAGGAGGAGGAGGCGGAGGAGGAGGAGGAGGAGGAGGAGGAGGAGGAGGAGGAGGCGGAGGAGGAGGAGGAAGAATTGTGGAATAAGGGGGAAGAAGGCGGAGGCGGAGAAGGAATAATCCCTCGGACTCCACCTGATCCTTCTCATTCGTTAACATTCGCCTCCTCCTCCTCTCCCTCCTCGCCCTCCTCCTTCTCCTCCCTACATCCCCTTCTGATCTTCATCCCACCCCCCGAGCTGGTCGAGGAAGACGAGGAGCAGTAGCTGCAGCTACAGAACCAGGAGCACAAGGGCGGAGGTTGAGGGGGAGGGGGAGGAGGACGAGGAGGGAAGAGATGCTTTACCCCACGAGACACCATGCGATGGCTACTCTGGTGACGGGGGGGGAATCATGGCACGACTGAAGCGGGAGTTCCTGGATCACGTCGGACCTTCCAGCGTCCCGTTCGGTAAGCTGGACGCGGGGTCGAGATCCACGAGAGGTTGGACGAGTTCCTCGAGAGGGCTCAGGCGCAGGGCCTGTTCTCGATGCTCGAGCTCGGCCATAGCTTGGACGAGAGGATCCCACTGGCCGGCACTCCCTCGAGCAGGAACGGCAGCGTGCGCGCCCAGACGCTCGTGGCGGGGTTCAACCGAGATTCTGCCAGCTGAGCCCCAAGTAAAATCGAATTGTAAGTCGGGCGTGTCCCTCTACAGGGGGGATATTCAAAAATAGTCAAAAAAATAGCATGGAGACGATTGTATGACCACTGTTGGTGCATAATTGAGGTATTTTTTATTATTTGTCACAAATCCTCCTGTAGGGGGACATGCCCGACCTAAGTCGAATTGCTTGGGCTCAGCGGCTTCAGCTTCAGGATACCTGCCTGTCCGCGCCCGCCCTGGGACGCTGCGGAGGCGAGGTGGCCTTCCTGAGGACGAAAACGAGACGGGCGCGTACACTCAGGGATGAGCTTTGGGGGATACCCTAACCAACCACGCTTAGCCAGGAGGGTTGGCCAGTGGGCCAGATGGTTGGCCGGGGCAAGTTACGGATTGGTTGTATCCAGTTGCTTCGGGCAATTCCGCCACCGTGCCAGCGCAGCATGCTGGGTGGCAACGATTCGAGAAGGCAAGGGGGCTTGCTGGCGGCCTCTTGGGGCAGAAGGCTCAAATTCTATGTTTGCTTTCCCACTCGTGGGCCACGTCTTGGGGTCATCTTGGGCACCTTTTGGGCCGTCTTGGAGCCACCTTGGGCAGTCTTGGAACTCTCTTGGGGGCCTCGTGAGCCGTCTCGGGGGAGTCTTGTTCGAAAAGGCGAGGACCCAAACAACATTGAACAAGCTATGCAGAACAAATGTGTTCTGCCTCCCAGGGCCCTCTTGGGGCCTCTTTTGGCCCTCGTGGAGCCTCCTGAGCTCTTGGGGCGGAAGGCTCGAGTTGTCGATTCGTGTTCACCCTCTTGGGCGCTTCTTAGGGCCATCTTGGTATCCTCTTGGGTATTGTTGCCGCCTCTTGGACCGTCTTGGAGGGCTGCCTTGGGCCAGTCGTGGTGGCCTCTTGGGTCGTCTTGGGTCACCGAAAGACTTTCAAAAAAAGCGAGAACCCGAATCAACATGGAAACACCTAGGGAATGTTAGCCAGCGTGGAGCCGGCACATTGTATATGTAGCTAAATGTTTTGCAAATGATGTGGAACCATCCATGTTGTGCAATGTAGGTGCGTCAAAGTATTTGGAGCTATCCCTGAGATGGTGCAACATGTTCGGTCGAATGTATGTGGTGGAGTATAGGTGGCTCAAGATATGAGGTACAATATATGTGGTGCAGACTATGTTGTACCATCTATGTTGTGCAATGTAGGTGGTGCGACCTATGCGGTGCCATCCATGTGGGGCAATACTTGTGGTGTATTACATGTGGCGCAACATCTTCGGTGCAACCTATGTGAGGCGATCTGCGTGGTGCAATCTGCGTGGTACAATATGTGTGTGCAATAGATGTGTTGCGCTCTAGGTTGCGGCATCTATGTGGTGCAATGTCAGTGGTGCAATCTGTGCGGTGCAGTCTACGCGGCGCAATCGATGCGAGGCGGTTACGGGACTGCGACGGCGGCGACATGGCTGGCAGACTGACGCACAGCCCCAGACGTCGGTCGGCGACGGGGCGGCGATGGCAGCAGCATAGCCGCCAGACTGACGCATAGCCCCAGACGTCGGTCGGCGACGGGGCGGCGACGGCGGCAACAAAGCCACCAGACCGACACACAGGCCCAGTTCTGTAGAACATAAATAACAACCCTTAGGTGCAAGCACTGCTTGGGGAATATCAATGAGTGTTGCCTCTCGGGGCCCTCGTGAGAAGGCTCTCGGGGCTCTTCTTGGGATGCCTCGAAGGTCTCGGGAGCCGTCGTCAAGCCATCCTGTGCAGTCTTGTGACCAAGGTGGCCCGTCTTGAAGTGATATCCGGCCGTCTTGGAGGCAGCTGGGCCTCGGGTGCGCGAGCCTGTCGTATGTTGCAAGGGAGCGTGGCCTCGGGAAGAGGGGGCGGTGCATGCCGCTGGACGCGGCCAGGGAGGGGGGGGCGGCCTTTAGAAAATGGCAGGAACCCTACCAGACAGCACCTGGCATTCAAGCACATCCCAATGTGCCGGGGGGCACGGTGGCGGATTTCCTACAGTCTTGATGCCACAAAATCCAGCGGAAGGGGAATTGACGTGAACACGCGGAGCGTGCGTGAATTCGGGGAGGTGTAGACGGTTTCTTGTAAGAGCGCTCGCGGAATGGTGTGGAATACAGTCGGATTGGGGTATAAGATCGAGGTCCGTTCGGGGAGGGCACCCGAGTGTTCTTCGTGTTTGTTGGATGTTGTTGCGCATCCTGGAAAGGGTATCATTGGATATTTCCCCAATCAGAGCTTGCCTCTGTAGTGGTCCTAGCGGATTCATATGGTAAGGTTAGGTTTGCCGCCGATTTTCGCTGCACGCCCGGGTGCCCGGGGGCCCAGGGGGGCCCGGGTGCCCGGGTTCGGCTAAACGTACGAGTGACCTTTCGCCAGAGTGACCTTTGGTGCGGGCCCACTGGGGCCGCCCGCTCGCCGAACCCGAGCGTCTTGTGATCTCGTGCTTGGCCCCCGCCCGCGGTCCCCAAAAGGCCGCGCACCAAAGGTCACTCCTGCGTGTAGCCGACGGGTGCCCCGGCGTGCCCGGGGGTGCCCGGGTGCCCAGGGGTGCCCTATAGCCCAATAGCCCTACAGCCCTGTAGCCTTACAGCGCTATAGCTCTATAGCCCTATATCCCTATAACTCAACAGCCCTACAGCCCTATAGCCGTATAGCCCTATAGCTCTATAGCCTTATACCCCTATACCCTACAGCCCTGTAGCTCTATTACCCTATAGCCCACTAGCCCTATAGCCCATATAGCCCTATAGCCCTACAGCCCTAAAAAGATTATGATTGGGGTTGTCTCTGGTATCATTTGTTTGTTTTGGCCGTCGGAGGGTTCCTTCCTCCCTCAACAAAGTGGCCCGCGGCAAGTTGAAATTGCACCAGTCAGCAGATCCTCTGCCAGCCTGGCCACCTCTTTGGGACCGCCGTTGGAGAAGCCCACCAGTAGAGCGGAGCGCCGTGGCCTGTATGATCTGCCCGCCTGGCCATGCCAGAAGTCATGCAAGCCACGCGGCATCACCGCAGATCGCCAGCTGCTTGTGGGCACCGAACCCACGATGAGAGAGATGTGAGCTCGTCTCCCCGACTGCCCAAGCAGTGGGCAAACGCGCCAAAGGGGTGTGGCTTGGGTCTTGCAAGGCTCGAGGACCTTGCAAAGCTCGAGAGCAATGCCCGGCCCTTCCCCTGGGCTGTTTTTGTTCATCCCGCGCCGTTTTTGGACAGTCCGGGGCCCAGCGAGGCACCCCAGAGGCCGACAGTTGACAAAACCCCCCGCTGCGATTTTTTCTAAATACGACGCGATCATGTCTGGGTACCGGCCACGGTCGACCGACCGACCGCGGCCACGACCGACCACGAACACGACGGAGACGACGAGCACCACGATAGGAACCACGATCACAGTGACGGCGAGCATGACGGTGGCGACAGCGACCACGACCAGGACCACGACAAACACGACTTCGACCACGACTGACGGCAACCGACCACGTTCGACCCCCCCCCCGTCCTCATCCTCATTCCCCCCTCCTCTCCTACTCACCCCCCCCTCCTCCCCCCTCCCCTCCTCCTCCCTGTCCTCCCCTTCTCCCCCTCCTCCTCCTCCTCCCCCCCCTCCTCCTCCTCCTCCTCCTCCTGCTCCTCCTCCTCCTCCTCCTCCTCCTCCCCCTCCTCCTCCCCCTCCTCCTCCCCGGCGCCGCGGCCCGCCCCGCCCCGCGCCGCGGGCGGCCCAGGCGAGCTGCCCCCGGTGGCGGCCGGGCTCGGGCCGAGGCCACGCGCCGCGGGCCCCGCGGGAGGGCCGGCGTCGTCGTCATCGTCGTCGTCGTCGTCGGTCCTCCCGCGCACCCCGCTGGACGGCGAGGTTCCACGGCCTCCCACCTCCTCTCGTTGGGTGAGTGGGAAGAGCCTGTCGAGGCAGGTGGAGGGAGGGGAGGGAGGGAGGAGTACCGGAGGGAGAGGGCGGACGGACGAGGGCAGGATCCTCAGCACCAAGTCGGGAGATCGGGTCGAATCCGAGCGTGCATCGGTTCGTGCCGCATGGGCGCGGGCTCGGGCAGAGGCCGCCCGCCGCTCACCCCCGGGGGGCCTGGCGGCCAGCGGAGGGGGCCCACGGGCCCCCCGCATTGAAAAAAGCACGACGGGCGATTTTTTCCCATCAAACAACCGATGTGATGCTGAGCATCCTGCCCTCCTCCATCCGCCTTCTCCCTCCTGCCTCCTCCCTTCGGGCCCCCCGCATTGAAAAAAGCACGACGGGCGATTTTTCCCATCAATCAACCGATGTGATGCTGAGCATCCTGCCCTCCTCCATCCGCCTTCTCCCTCCTGCCTCCTCCCTTCGGGCCCCCCGCATTGAAAAAAGCACGACGGGCGATTTTTCCCATCAATCAACCGATGTGATGCTGAGCATCCTGCCCTCCTCCATCCGCCTTCTCCCTCCTGCCTCCTCCCTTCGGGCCCCCCGCATTGAAAAAAGCACGACGGGCGATTTTTCCCATCAATCAACCGATGTGATGCTGAGCATCCTGCCCTCCTCCATCCGCCCTCTCCCTCCTGCCTCCTCCCTTCCAACCCCCCTTCTGCCTCGACGCTCCTCTCCCCCTCACCCAACGAGAGGAGGTGGGAGGTCGTGGAACCTCTTGGCGGCGCGCACAAGCGGGTATAGGGGGAGGAGTGAAGGCGTCTTAGAAGGACCCTTCTCTATAGATGTAGGGCCGGCGCCTTCTAAGAATCAGGCCTTGTGTGCGCCGCCAAGTTTTGTCTCATCAAACAGCCAATGCATTGATGATGAAAGTTGCCAGTTCCCCCACTGAGGGAAACGGGACTCCCCCACGCGAAGCACCAGCCGCAAACGAGAGGAAAGAGAAAGCAGGGACTCCGAGGCAGCTGCGCGCCGTCTCCAGGCTGCTGCCCCCGGCACTGCAGCCGAGGATGCTCGGCTCTGGCCCCCACCCCGCCTTGCCAGGGGCTGCTTCGGGGGCAACGAGGCAGGAGAGTGGACAGCGTGGTCCGCCAGAGGCGGCTGTCACGAC